CAAGTGGACTCGTACGCTAAAATCACGAACATCTGTTACTTACTCATTTCAATCTCATTCTCGAGACAGATCAAGTTATTTTTTTTTAAATTTCTTGATTGTCTTGCCTGCAGTACTTCATCAGTGGAGTCAGAAGAAATGATAAAACCTCAACGCCAGAGATACATCACTCATCATTACTTGCTGAAACAGATTCCACTGGGCGTAAAAGGAAAAATCGCGGTGAAAATTATATGAATGAATCACTGAAAATCAGTGATGAGACCAGGTGTTTGCGAAAATGGTAAGCATGTCCTACCCTACCGGTAGATCCCGTCATCCACACAATGTGCATAGCAAACCAATTGGGTTTATTTGTGTGTTGCCTGACGCTGCACAGCAGTACTCCTGCTATACGACGGCGACATGTAAACAATGTCGTGTTGACCAGTGATGGACCAATCAATCCAGTGACACGATACCGTATTTACTGATTTTGTTCAACTAAAAACGATATGTTATTGAAACCAAATGACTTCGTCATGTTTATATAATTATATCCTCGCTTTTGAAAGTAAATATAATTTTCAAAATAGCATCACAAATGAGGGTCCTTATCAACGGTTTTACTTTTTCCTCATCCAATTAAAGGTCGTCGTCACTTTCATTCACCTTTATCAATGGTACCAGTATCAATCAAACATTGTTCATCTAAATTAGTAATGTGGAACCGTTTACCTTTTTTGAAAGAAAATGGAGTGAGTTACTGTTACATGTACCATACCAATATCGATACATTTCCTAACCTGTGTGTAGGTCATCTACACATCAAGTCATTATTCACGGTGATGCTTTCATAGCAACGTCTAAACCTTCATCATTACAATGATCTTAAGGGCGAGTACAGGGTGTTTCAGTTTATAATCTTGTTTTTCCCTGTTTCAAGGTGTAAGTTTTATTTTTTCAGATAAATGACGGCTGACTCTCTGGAACAGCGAAACGACTGATTGATATTATGAGCAACGATGCACCCCTGCGATGGCATGCCATCAACCAAGTATCCGAGTCTGACCTTCCGATCAATTAAGTAGCCTCGGACATGCCTAGGTTGCTTGGAATCAATTCTAACCTGGAACCAAACAGGGTTTCAAGGTTTAAACATTTGGCGTATACCCTGTATTACATTCATTATACTCCCAAAGATTGTTGTTTCATCTTAGTATCATAACGCATGTGTAAACATCCGCATAATATTAAGTAGACACTTAATATGTATGTATGTTAGTAGTGAGGAGTGACTGTGTGAGAAGTTAAATTCCAGGTACATTGTATATTCAACGGTGAACACCAATAATGGTCTTGACACAATTTACCAATGTGCGGAATCGAACCCCGATATGCAGGTTAACGAGCTACCGCTTTAACCACCACGCTACTTCATCGTCCAATGTCCAACAGTGGATCGGATAAACAAATACGTGTACGTCATTGTCAACCTTAACTAAGCATCATATAATCTCAAACTGGTACCAACATATAAGACTTGTGAAGAAGTGATAAATGTGCCACAGATAATAACGTAACTGTGAGCCTGTAATATAGTTGACATTGACGAATTCCTTCGTGCCAAAAGTGTATTTACGACAGCAGATATAATAATATAATCATCGATAATTATATGAGCACATTTCAATCTTTCCTTGATGAAATATAGACATGCTATTACCTACTGCATAATCCCAGCATCGTTACAGTATCATCCCGTTGAACTGTCAGTTTGAATACACACTGGATGTGAGTACCAAGGGCTTCCAACATCAATCATCACCATCCTGAATAATGTGTGTACATAACGGCATGGAGAGGAGAGAGTGCACATAAACTATTGTCAGACACAATTCATCTTGCGAGACAGATAAACCTTTTATATAATCTTGGATCACAAAGGTTGAAAGAGTTACGTGCTTTGAGGCTCTCACGTTGTTGCCATCACACAACTTGCTGTCCCAGGCTTTCTGTAGCTTGCTTTTACACTTGGCGTCTAGTTTAGGTTTTATGTCACGGAGTAGGCTTTTAAGGTGTTTTCTTACTATGGAGATCCAGACTAGCGACTGAGATGATCTATTTTAATAATGTTTATGTATCTCCGGAACCTTAATATTCAGACAGAAAACGTCCATTTGGTCATTATATAAACGTTTGGACCGTGAGCTAATCGATCTTATGCGTTACGAGAAGGTGGCCTTCTGAATAGAACGTTCTGCAGCAAGTGCATATATGACTGTAACATTTCATGCACATCATCAGCCGTCATATGACTGGAATATTGCTGAGTGCGGCTTTAAACAACAACAGCAAAATCAATATATTGATAACAGGGGACAGGGTGGCAAAGTCATCTTAGGCACCAGAATGCACTGTGCTGAGTCCCCAGGTATGCCAGAAACGTGTGATCGTGGGCTTGAATCACGGTGATTATGTTTCTAGGTTTGTCACCACCATCACCGTGTTTTTGAGTTTCACCACAGTGTTGAACGTCTCAGACTTGCATCACTGCAGGCTTTCCTTCCACAGTGTCTCGCGGTGAAATACTATTCAAAACCGTATTAAACCAAACTGGCCAAAGGGATCTTAGCGCTAACTACGCTCGTAACTCGTTAAGCAGTCGTAGCTGAAAGTTCGCTGTGTGGCCAGTGGCTGTGTGGCTGTGTGGCTGTGTGGCTGTGTGGTATCTATAGTGCATGTACTTTACCTAAAGATGAGAGTTTTCACACTGATATTTTTCACATGAAAATGAATTCAAACATGGATGCGACAATTGTGATAGTGCACCGTGATCTCTGGGATTCCTGGACACGTGACCGTAATGTGTGATCGTGAAGACCATGTATGGGCGTGAACCTGTCATTACGCATGTTTACGTGCAAGTGCGTGAGTCAGTGTGGTCCTGTGTCACTTTTAGCAGTATTCAAGCAATATGACAAAAACGGGCTTCGAACCATTGTTTTCGGAGTGACGAGCGAAAACTTTAACCACTAGGCCCTCCAAACACCCATGCTAGAGATGATGGTGGTGCGGTTAGGCAAGGGCAGTCAGGCGCTATTCAAACAGAAGGATCGATTTTCCAAACGGACATGCTATGTCAAGCGCATCACGTCCTTCCCCAAACACCCCATCTCACCCAATTCAACCCACCACATTGAATAGTTCCCCAAAGCGGCTTAAAACCATTTACTCACATACTACGTTTTGAATTGCATCATTCAGAGGTCACCATTGTTGCTGACACCCCTGTGATTCGCCTTTTCATCTAATGTATAATCTTTTATGCATGTGTCGGTCCGATCCAGTGAGTGAGTATGGATTTACGATGCATTTTGGCAATATTCCAGAAATATCATGGCGGGGGGCACCAGAAAATGGGTTTCACATAGTACCCATGTGGGGAATCGAACCCTGGTCTTCGGCGTGACGAGCGAACGCTTTAACCACTAGGCTACCCCACTGTCCCCGGTCAGATTCAGATTGTGGAGGGTGACATATTCATTCATAGCAATATTGGTACTATCGACGGTGTTATTTCATTTACATGTCAACGTATAACCTCACGTTTTGTAACCTAACATAGGCCCTGTAACATGTTGGCAGTTTTACAACCCATTAAGAATATACGATGGAAGGACGTCGTTTATCACCTACAAATCAGCCTATATAGCGGGCACCACAGCAATCATAGAAATGTCGGACTTGTAAATTGAAAGCATAATACATTATGATACACTGCAATTGTGCGATGGCCCATAGAACTAAGAGTGTGATGAAATGACTTAAACGACGAGCTTCTTGTGGATCAGCAGTAGGGACTGTCAATATATTTTCGCTCGCTTTCCTTCTCCTAAATGCTCGTAACCATCTTGAGAAGTAAATGGGTGATAATCAGAGTTATTGCCCTCGTGTGAGAGAAACAAAGAAGGAGGCTTGCTGGCTTCATAATATGACGCGATCAATCTTTTCTGCAGTTCGCTTTGATCGTAATGACTTATTCAGATCCCATTTCATGGGAAATACGTGTGCAAACTGCCGTCATTATGGTAATACACACTATCCGTTTCATTCACTTCACGAGAAAGGGTCTAATTGATTTAGTCGACTTTGCGGCTAACCACAGAAGGACTATTCATAATTAAAGGAAACGAACCGCGAACTTCCGTCTATTATCCAACCCTTTCCTGAGCAAATATTATTATAGATATCTTTATTGCTAGAGATTGCCAGAAAATGGTTAAGACTAGAATAGACGGAGAAACGTGTAAGTGAAAAGTTTGATGCCGGATGCGGTGTGTTGTGATAGTAGATGCTCATGTCAAATACATTTATTGTAATATTACAGGATCAAGTGCCATCAAACATGAAACTAATGCATCTAAGTCTTTGAGGCCATCTTTCTGATAATTTCCAACTCGCCGCCGTCAATAAGATCTACTTTTATGTGTTGTTTGTTCTGATGTTGCAACGTCATGAAGGTACTTCACTACATGCTTTCTAGCTGAGATGTTTTTGATGTTGGAGCATCAAAGGTCCTTGCAGATGCTGTAATGATTTGACCCGTGTTAGTCAGCGTCAACTGGATCCATTGGCTATTTGGAAGGCGACATCGGGAGGCTAAACGTACACGGTCCAAGCCTATCATACAGGATAGGGTACTAATAGAATTACGGACCTGTTTTTTATCACAAACGGCCGTAAGATTTCATTTGCTAATCTGTGCACTTGTAGGCTACTTGAGGCAGTGATATTAGATTAAAAGACGCCGTCGACCAATAATAGAACCTTCACCCTTGCGGTGGACACTACCAGAGTGGACGGCTTCAACCAAAATCAAATTATTTGTCAAAATGCGCAACTCTTTCTAGCGATTGTACAGGCAGTAGTAGTTAATTGCGGCTTTCTCAGGCAGCGCGAGGCGGACAGAGGGATTGGTGGAACAGACAAGATAATGGGCCGTGCCTCGGCACTGCGTACAGCGGAATAGTCCTCCATCGACCGCGGCTGTGATGGTCGATCAATACTCCCATCACTAAATCCATCTCACCTGGACAGTGAAGGAAGATAGACTAGCCCATGTAGCCTTCCCCAATAAAAGTGAATTGGTCTATTGTCAGCATGTGTTGTGAGAGCAACGTTGATGGGTGGTTCTGTTAATGAACTCATTGAGGCCACTGAGTCATTATCGCGACGGCAGCGTGTAGGCTGTGAGAACGGATGTTGTACAGTGGAGGAAACTTTTGTTCCTTCGGTGAACAATGTGGATTTGTCTGGGAGATCAGGTGTCCCATTCAGGTGTGGACGTGTAAGGTAATCTCTTCATGTTCTCGCGGACTCTTAACGGGAGGAGGAAGCCCCTGGAGGTGAGACTTGTACCGTCCCGGATCCACTTCACCAACTGTCTCGACCCCCAGGCTTTACATGACGAGGGGGTGATGGGGGAGTTTTGTCGAAAGGTGGTGGAGAGGGGGGAATACCCCCGGTTGCAGGTAGCGGAGAAGGATGGGCACTACTTTACCCTGAATAACACCCGACTCCACCTATTCCGTCGTCTTGAGGAGTTGGGACATTGTCGTAAAGTGAAGGTGGAGAGGATTCCACTTAAAGAGATTCCTGAGGGCATTCGACAGATGATGACTCCACCTCCATCAATTAAACGTAAGATTGATTATTATTATGCTCACGTGGATCGAATAATGTTATTCCATTAGGGATATAAAAGATTATTTACATGAATGATGTAACTTTCTCAGTGCTATCAAGGTAGGAAAATGACCCACACGTTTAGGAAAATCGTCGGTAAGATAAATAAATAACAGAAATATTTTGTTTGCCTTTAAACAGCATCGTTCTATCAATTCACTCGGGACTCCCGGTTCAATTAAAATGAAAATACATGAAAATAAATGTGATTCTGTTTCATAATTTTAACGATACACGTGCAACAAATTCATTCTATATTACATGTTACATTATTCTATGTAACATTTAATCTATCAAGTTGATCTTTTAATTGGTAATTAATAACTTGTGGTCAGCAATGCTATGCAAACTATAACTAATGGCCCAACTCCATTTCGGACACGTCTAGGATAAAACACGTGTATGGTGGGAACTTTCCTCATTATTAATAAATGTAACTCGCTCATATCTCATGTCAAATACACCTGTGAAGTCTCACCGACAAATAGAGGCTTAGGTAAAAAACACCTATTATATACAGAATACATGTTATGTCTTCATATGTGTCGAAGAAATCTCTCACTGACAACATGTCACCGAATGATTCCGAGTCATTCCAACTTGTCTCCCAACAGACGTGATACCACCGCAGACAGTAATTCACTGATAGCCTAAACATCTGTTGCAGTTTGTCTACCACGTGGGGAATGTACACACGTGCCGTAACGTGGTAACACAAACAGCCGGCGTCGACATTAACTCAAACGTTTCTATGATTTTAAAAGCCCTTTTAATGTTTGCTCCTTCATATATTGACTATATACAAGCCGAACGAAATGCCAAGCCATCAGTTTGATTACGTTAGTGTATGGTTTCTTGAGTTGATAATAGGATCTTTTCATAGATATATTTGCTTCAGCGAAAAACGTTTTATTTCACATTAAACGTAAAGAGATATGACAATGAAACAACTTTCAATTGACAGCAGACTTTAACATCGAAAGGCTATAAAAAAAACTAATAACAATCATGTTTGTTCGATCTAAGCATGACATTAGAGATTTGAGTATGACTGCGTTCTGTTTTAACTAGCCTCATTGTGCAGACAGATAAAGAAACAAACACTTATATCCATCTAATCTCAGTTACCTTAGATACAAAACAAAAATAAGTTCAATGTGAGCAGACAAATGGTGGCTAGAATCAGCCTAATAATAATAACGTATACGTGATACAGTAACCAGTATCAACCTGAAGCCGATTTGATAAAAGGTTTCGTCAACGAGAACTGTTAGGTCATGGCAAGATAATAGGCTAGCAAATGTTAATATTGGAACATTACTACGCTGTGGCTACAACATACAACCGACATGGATTACAGTGCTAACAGATGTTAATACTCCTGGTTCTTACAGAGCTGTTGTCACCGCATCTGCATCATCTGAAATAGGACCAATTATTAAAAAGTAGCTATTACCTCAATGTTTTCTGTTTAGAATGAAATAACTTCCTTTCTCGATATCCTAATTATAAGAGAATTATATAATCGCATTAATAATGTCATTTTGTTGCCATTTGTTAATTCAAAGTTCATATTGTTTTCGCTGATGATTATTCTAACCTTTAGGTCATGTCGTGTTTTAATAAGTACGTCATTGAACGAAACCCTATTTATTATAATAATGCAGAGATGGTAATATGCTGATGGTAAGCTTGAAAGTGGCTTGAAACTAGCACCAAGTTAATACTGAATCTCATGAAATGAGTGAGTGAGTGAGTTGGGTTTAACGCCGCTTTTAACATTATTCCAGTCATATCGCGGCGTGTCAGCTTAATGTGGGAGGAAAGCCCGAAGTGATGCAGGTTTCAGACGTTTACCACTTCGGTGAAACCCACGAGCACGGGTATGGTGCTGACAAACCTAGAAACATAATTGGGGCGAACCGGGATTCGAACCCACAATCATAGGTTTCTGGCGTGCCCAAGGAACGCAACTCTGCACAGCTCATGAAATGAGTTCGGCTTGGAGAACGTGAACGTTTCACTTTGTATTGTATTCCAGTTCGTGTTATGAATAGGCAAATATTTATGGTCACAAGTTTTAAATCTATATATGTGATAAATTAGTCCTTTCACTGTACTTTGTCGACAGGTTTATAATCTAAATTTATGCATTATCAATGTATGACTTGATTTAGTAACGACATGGCTGAATTATTCCAGATGTGACTATAAATCTTCACTCACTCACTGTAGTTCTCGTAAGATATACCGCCTCCAAGGTGTAGTGCATAGAGCGTCTGCCTGGAGAGCTAAAGACGTTAAAAAATGACACTTATTGTTACCCTGCCTGACGCTTGGCATAACGAGGAAACACCAAGGACTGGTCGGCTGGACTAGTACAAGCACACACACATACACCCACACATGCAAAAGACATACGCACAGGCATGCATTACGCTATATAAGAGCAATACTCTTGAATGCTCCGATAAACCCCATTTCACCTCGCCACCTCTTGTCAGATACATTTCCCTCTGGTGATCGGTAACTCTCGTAATGTTATATCGTTTTTTGAAGCTGACGAAGAAGTTTGATAACTGAAGCCACACATTCTGCGTGAAGATCGAGTACATAGAAAATGATAGTTTGGCCTTCGTAATCTAATAACCATGTACTTTGATGTTAGTTTGTCGAAATTGTTTACAAAACCAGTCTTCATTGTGGCGCCGCGCTACTATTATTGAGAAATTCTTTTTCTGATATATTGGTGATGCTTTGAAAGGTTATCGAGGAATCGCAATAACAGACTCTGTAACACAATTAGATTAATTCATATTGTAACGCTATTATATCTGTAGGGAACCCAGTTGACCTGCCAGACTTCGATCAATACTTCAGAACAAAACAAATCATTCACCAGTCCATTGTGTTTAATGTGTGAGAAGGCAAATTGCTAAAAACACAAAAGACACAGAGCACAGCGTAACATACATATATATTCTATACACTTCGCTGTGAACAATAGGGTCCCACTAAACGGAACCGTCACATATGAATTATATATTGGGTCTTTGAAAGGCATTTACGAGTGATACACATAAGGGAGAGAACATATGGATGTCAACTTCTTTAGTACACCTGATGAAGGAGTAAGCATATAAACGTTTTGTTCTTCATAATAAAGAAGTTGACATCCATATATTCTCTTCCTTATGAAAGATATATGTTGTCATGGGTGATACATGTATTGATTCTCGAACGTTCTGTTTAAGCATAAGCGTGTGTGTTTGATGTGTGTGTGTGTATGTGTGTGTAACGTCATAGGTTTTGCGAGTACGTAGACATTGCTATGAATTCTTGATAGTGCACACAACACTAAACGCGTTGGTTCAGGATACACAAAACACTGAGCATACTTGCTCAAGAATGCACAGAACGCTGAACGTATCAACAGAAGAGGCACTTGTTCGATTCTGGCTGAATCATAAGCATGTGTTTATGAACCACTATCAAATACTTATGATATCACAGTATAACAGAATAAAACAAACCAAATTAAAAACACATACAAGTACAACAGACCAAACCTTACCAATTACAACCAGTCTACAGACAAACAGTGACCAAAGCTGGACCACCTCACTGGGGATAATGGGGATCAGTGCTTATGCTTCCTGCATGATTCTCCAGCAGGATGATTGCCATCACTTCTGACAATCATTAATTTACATTCATTAATCATCATATTTATGGACACACAAAACCAATTATAGTCACTCAAATGAGTGAGTAGGTTGGATTTTACGACGCTTTTAGCAGTATTTCAGCAATATCTAGGCGGGGGACATCAGAAAGGGGCTTCACACATTGTACCCATGTGGGGAATTGAAACCTGATCTTCAGCGTGAGTAGCGAAAGCTTTAACCTCAAGGCTACCCCACCGTCACCGAAACAAATGAGGCAAGTTGGTAGCAATAATCATCTGAACATCTTTTCGAGTAACTGGTCGTAGTGCTAGATCGGAGTATAACTGGATATCCTTGTTGAAACGGAACTGCGTCCCAGTAGCACAGATGGCACCAATAAGCCAGTTTACGTCTAGACTCGACAAAGCCATCTCACGGACAAAAGAGTGTATAGTTGAGAATGATGACGCTCACGACATTGATGGAAGTCTTTATAATGTCTGTAATGTATATCCCATGACTAGATGACTTAATGGGCAAGAGACATCTTAGCTGGGACCTTTTATTAACTAGTTTAACGATTTCGCCTTCTCAACAGTTTACAGATTATATGAAGAACACTATTTAATTCCGAGTCTGTTAACACATTTTAATAAAGACTGAGAAGTAAAATAACTTGCTGAACGACCAAACTTCTTTCGAATTAATACCCTGACGACCATACCTTTAAAGTAACACTTTTTATAATGATTTTGCTTGTTATTTTTATCTTATTCTTCGTAAATAACACCAAACAAACCTAACTAAATGAAACATCTAAAACCAGAATTGTTTTCTTTTAAAACCAAACTGTTCTATTGAAACAGAACAGACACATAGAGAATCTCACCATCGTGTCTGCAAGTATATCAATACGAGTAGGTAAAAGTTAAAACTCAGAGGCTTTCCGGGAAGATTTAAGTTTTATCTACGAGTGTTGATATATTTGCTATCAAAAGACACGAGGGACGGTGAGATTGTATTTATAATCTTAAATCATTATTTCAACCTTTTAAGTTTGTACCCATTACTAACCAAAGTCTAGAATGTAAAAAGTACAGCGAACCAGCTTCCGAGGCAGAGAGGTTGCAGTTGTTATTTGATTGTGACGTCATGTTAACGGATGCACTCACAATGGTCTCACACAAGCTATATTTTCTGTGGAAGCTTGTTTGGGATAATAAAACACAGAATCCACTACACTAATATGTTAGCTGCTAACCATGATATACATTGCATTTCTACATT